GAATAATTGATTTTGAAAACATTTCAACCAAACCCAAACGTATTTTCATAACAGAGTTTTTTAATGAATTCTAAACTTATCTGCATTTGTTTAAAACTGAAAAAAGGTTGATACCAATGGGCAAACATCTCATATTTGCGGACACAACTCACTCTTTTTAATCTTCTGATAATGACTCTACTCATTGACCCATCAATTGAATTTAGCCCATCAACATAACAACTGGATCTGCACTGCTCAGACCATTTAACAATTCCACGGCTTTGCATACAATACATATCCATATTTTACTCTTAAACAAGTTTATAAAAACTTTGCAGAATTTTAGTAAAGTAAGCATTTTAACATTCTTGTCGATATATTTGTGTGGTCTTCATAAATTAATGTGACAAAGTATTATATATATATATATACAAAAGTTAGTTCTTAAATTTTTTATAGCTTATAAATTGTATCCTTCGTTTTGGAAGAAACAAAATGAATCATATCCTCACCTAAAACCTTCTTTCATTACTTGAAAAGAGACAAATAACCTCTCCGTTTATGGTCGGATGACAAACCCTTTAATTACTGGGATTAACTATACTTAGAAAGTCTTATGTTTGAGTAGTAAGAGAGGTATCTAAAACATTTATGTAATTACATTATTAAATTGGAATTATAAAATATTTCATGACCCTGAAAATTAAGCAAACACCAATATGTGACAAACAACTAAGAGTTTCAAATGTTAAAAACTGAAACCAGATAGAGAAAATAATATAGAGCAGGTATTGAGGCAAGCGGCATTTGCGTGGCCTCAAATGCTGCCATTAAACTATTTCCGCTTAAAGTATCGAGAGGCCCACTTCTTCTATAAGGATCGTCAATGGATCTGGTGCTACTCAAATACAGAGACACTAACAAAATTTAAACCCAAGATTGTGCACCCATCAACTCAATAACGCATGCATCACTAACTATTATTCTCATGGGATCACCAATAACATATATAATAGCATTTACTAATAATGGACGATTTTACCTTTTTATTTTTATTTCAACAATCATATGTATTCATTTCATTATGACACAATGAGTTAGCGTAACGATAAGGCTAGCATTCGATAATACATTTAGAATTGATAAACAAATCTCAATCACAAAAACTTAGGTCATAAAATTTGAAATAAAATCTAAATAATTATTTAATAACTTCCAAAAATGAATAATATATTTATATAAGGTGGTGACAGCCAACTCTAACAAACTCCTAAACAAGGAAATAAAATCATAATTAAACATATAAATTAATTGAAAGAATAAATCTTGATTGTTGACTAATTATAAAATAAGTAAAATACGCAGAAAACTTAAATAGCCCTAAAACACGTCAAAACAGTGGATTTTAGCCTAAAAAAAGACCCTCGATTGGGGAATCAAAGTTGCCATATTGTCGAGCTCAAAACGAGCTTTTTGTTTATATCTTATGAGCTCCATAATTTCTTCCATATAAAAAATTATGATTATTTTAAGTTGATTTATACGTAATTGAGCTTTTAACGCTCAACTCTCTCCAAGAATTCATCTACTAAATGTTCGACATCAAATTATCAATTAGTTGTATATAATATTATTGTAAGATAGAATATTAGAGTCACTTTGTCGAATAAATACTAATACTATATTAGAGTCACCTTATTTTTTAATAGAATTCTAAAATACTATTAATTTCCCCATATTTGTTGAATAAATGTATTTATATTTATATTTGTGGAGTAAATTATGTAGCACTTGAATAAAATATAAAAGCATCCGATACTTGTTAAGTGAAACTGATCAAAACTCTGTCCACGTAAATCTTTCATGCGATTGCAGAAACACGACATCCCTTCAGTCCTGACTATAGGCAGAGGCTGGTGACAGCACGTGCATCGCGCAAAGTAGATGCCAAACGGTGTCGTTAGCAGCTCCCTACCTACCATCCCGGTTTTGACAAAATCATTAGTGAGGAAATAAATATAATTTGATATTTTAATTGATTTAAACTAAACAAGTAAATATGCCAAACAGAGCACGCATTAAGGCGGTTTGACGAGTGTATGAAATCAAGACATATTTTGTTGACTTTTTTTTTGTAAGGTATGGTCTAGTCATAATCAATACCAATTCAAGAGAGGTAATACCGTAATTTCTCCCTCATTTTAAAACAAATTAACCAAATTTCATGATTTTAATAAGTTTAAAAATAGTATAAAAATATTATTCAAACTAAAAGGCAATAGCTTCTAAAATAAAATTATTATGTGACAGTAGTTTTTTTTTTTTTAAATCATTTGAGGAGTATATGAATTAATTATCAAAGGGTGACACTAACACTACAATATATATAGTGAGCCTGAGCCAGTCCAATAGTCCGAAGATATCTAAAAATGATAAGACGATATACTTATATTATCAAATCTTGAATTATGATAACAGAGTGACCTAAAATACAACATGTTGACAAGTCAAACCTATATGGTCTTTGAATATTTACCAAAACTGGACCAATCATATCCTAAAAAACACTAAAACCTCGCAGACCTTGACCCCATTTAATCATACTCACCAACACCCATTACCTATTCGTTATATTAATTAATTTTTTTAAAAAAAATTTAAAAATCATTCACCCGATTGAGTTTTAAAAGAAAAATAATAGCCTTCTTGTCTGAGAAGTAATATACAAAGAATACGCCGTGAACTGTTAAGTGTTAAATGGCAATGGACACGTGTCAATAATAATAAGAAAGAGGGGGTTTGGATGGTTGGGGTAGGAGAAGGTAGACTCAGGAGTGGAGCGGGGTAGGTGCGATGGCTTAGACGTCACTCTAATTTCTAAAGCCTAATCAACACGTTTAATTAATAAGGGTTTATTCGTAATTCCATCAAATGGATCCTCTACTTACTCTTCACAAAACTCACCTACTTACTTTAATTAGGTCTTAGCCTCTCAGGTGACTTCTTCTGTTAGGCTTAGGCTTTAGTCGGCTTGGAGTTGGATTTCAATATCCCTTAGCACAGACCTTTGGTGGCTGGTCCAGTTATTAGAATTTTTGAATGTATTATTTAAAAATTTTAGAGTTTGATTTATCTTGATTATTAATAGGGGTAATCATTAGAATCGTTTCAAGAATATTTATGACCTTAGACAAGAGTTATTTTAAAGGTCTTCTAATAATATAAGTATATATTAAAAGAATTATTTCAAAATTATTTTTCTTAAGATACAAAATCACTAATTAAATTTTTGAATTCAAGTTTAAAACCAAAACTTTTTCAATTAATAATATAATTAAATTACCTAATCTTTCTTGTGACATTATTGAACGCAAATAATATTTTATTAACTTTAATTTTGATAAACTTTTTTCTTTCTAGTGAAGCTACAATAACAAAAATAATTAATAGTATTTTATAAGCTATCCATACATTTGAAAAAGAATTCACATTTTTTTATAAAATTTAGTATCTCAAGTGGTGTTTTAATTTCCGCGTTTGTAGTTTCTTTTAAAATTTTTAATTTTGAATATAAATCTAAACCATAAATATCATAGATCATGTCATGTTTTAAAAAGTTTTCAAGATTTAAACAATTTTTCTTCAAATTATCATCATCATTTGAGATTAAATGTCGAGATTAAATATCGAATGTCGAATTTTGGGATTAAATTGATGGTGAGAAATTTGAGACATATAAATGACTATTTTAGCCTTTTATTGTTAAAAGAAACTAAATGTGTTAACTTAAGGGTGTAAATATGGAATATATGAAACTAGGGGTATAAACTATCATTTCGATAAATCTTGAGTGAGAATATATATAAAAAGCTTATAACAAATTTGGCTCTTTTTGGCTTTTTTTGGGGCTCCTTTAGACCGGCATGGATAGGAAATTATACATTATTGATTTTTTTAATATATTCAAAAAAAATTTATAACAAATTTGGGCTATTTTTAGTCTAATTTTTTGGGGGCCCTAGACAATTATCTTATCTGCTTAGTGCTTGGACCGCCCCTTATGACAACTAGAGACTTATCCTATCATTAACTTTAAGTCCCAGAAAATTAGTCGACTGAACCAGACATTTTTCGTCAACAAAAAGAAAAAATGCCTCAACATTTCATGTTTATCTTAAAAATAATAAAATTGTTAAGATAAAGGAGATTGTTGATAGAGAATTAGAGATTAAGTGGACTATTTGAGGATAATATTATATTATTAAATAAAGTCGTTGAAAAAGATTAAAGGATATGATTTTGGCTGTTGTATCGGGACTGAGAACAAATTTTATACGGTTTACCGTAAAATGCGTGCTGTTAGTACTATGATATGAATAAAAGTATATACATTCAATTCATGTGGGGGCTGGTCAATCAAAGACAAAGGTGGTAGGTGATTTTTATTCAAGTTTGAACTCTTTTTTGGTCTATATTCCTGCCTGCGTTTTCTCAGCACTAGCCACTTCTATCTTTTTTTAATTTTTAATAAGGTGGAAGCAATATCCCACTTAAGTCTTAACAGAATTCCAGCTAAATTAAAATAAGATATTAATTTTTTATTTTGCACTATCATTATCTCTTTTATTTTTATTTTTTCTTCGGCTAAAACATATATGATTTATATAATTATCAGTATCAGACTATTTATTAATTACTGGATTATTGCAAAAACTTATTTCTAATTTTTTTATTTTAGCATTACAGGCTGTAAAGTGTTGAAGTAATGCCGGCTCGCTCAACTTGACTCAGCTCAGTTTTCATGCCGCCGCCTCTAACCATCATTAGGTGGCAAGTAGAGACTAATCAATAACTTAAAAAAACATAATTAAACTAAAAATAGACAGACAATTACCTAGAAAGCCCTTTCATATTAGAATTCCCAAAAACACCCTTAACTACCACAAATCAAGTTCACCAGACACGCACGTACGCCGCACGTACCCCAGTTGGCCGTTTCTTTATAAAACCCTTCACATATCTCAAGAGTCTGTCCAGGTTCCGCTTCCCGTCATAAACAAAACTTGTGAATTTACTTCCACAAGAACCTAAACTAAAAGCCATTATGGCTCTCATTGGCAGCACCTCCATTACTCCCACCAAGCCTTCCTTCATTCAGCCTCAAACTCCGCCCTTCACCGCTAAAACCAGATCAAATATCCTCCCCATCTCCGCCGTCCACGCCGCCGATTCCACTAAACCCTCTGTGAAGAGCTCAACGACGCCGGCAACTCAGCCAATTACCAAGACCCACAATGCGGGTACAGGGAAATGGACGGTTGAAAGCTGGAAATCGAAGAAGGCTTTGCAGTTGCCGGAGTACCCGAACAAGGAAGAGCTGGAATCCGTTCTTAAAACTCTGGACGCATTCCCTCCGATTGTGTTCGCTGGTGAGGCCAGGAGTTTGGAGGAGCGCCTTGGTGAAGCCGCTGTGGGTAAAGCGTTTTTGCTCCAAGGAGGAGACTGCGCTGAGAGCTTCAAAGAGTTTCATGCTAATAACATTCGTGACACTTTCAGAATCCTTCTTCAGATGGGTGCGGTGTTGATGTTCGGTGGTCAAATGCCCGTTATCAAGGTCTGAATTTTTGAGGGGCATTTGTTACTGAATTTTTTATTTTTTATGTTATTTGTTTTATTGATGATTTTTTTTTTTTTTTTTTTTTTGTATAGGTGGGGAGAATGGCGGGGCAATTTGCGAAGCCGAGATCGGACCCATTTGAGGAGAAGGATGGCTTGAAGCTACCGAGTTACAGAGGGGATAATGTTAATGGAGACGCTTTTGATGAGAAATCTAGGATTCCAGATCCACAGAGGATGATTAGAGCTTATTGTCAATCCGCTGCTACCTTGAATCTTCTCAGGGCTTTTGCTACTGGTGGTTATGCGGCTATGCAGAGGGTTACACAGTGGAATTTGGATTTCACCGAACACAGCGAGCAAGGAGATAGGTAATTACCTTACCCTTTTTTTATTGATTTAGTCTTAGATGATTGATATTACTTCATTAGATTTTTAATTTATTTTTTTAAATGGCGGTTGTACCGTCTTGACTCTGTTTTGATTCAGTCTTAGATCCGTAAAATATTAAATTGGAAAATTTTATCGGAGGGTTTACAAAAGTTTTGTCATTTTCAACTTTGCTTTTTTCATGTTTTTTGTGTTTCTCAGAGGTCAATTGGATATGGAGTAAACGGCAGATAACCTTTTTCATACAGAATATGCCATATACATCAACATCACTGCTACTGTTTTTTTTTAATTGAAAAATGGCCATACTAGGCCTTATTTGGGATGCTTAACACCTTAACTTGTTTAGCCTTGTCTATAAGATAATCTGCTTGCTTGCTTTCTATAAGACCATTTTGCCACGTGTTTTGTGAAGTCAGATTGTAAATTTATTCTTGTGTGGAAGAAACAAATATATAATTGGAATATTTTATTCCAAATATCCAAAGTATCCTATTCTTGGTGTTTGGATTCAAATGAAATTAATTTGGCCAGTGGCTATATAATTTTAACTATTTTATCTAATGCTTCTGTCTCTCTTATGTTACCTGAAGAAATAATTGTCCTGGTCTTGAAATGGCAGGTACCGTGAACTTGCTAACCGGGTTGATGAGGCCCTTGGATTTATGTCTGCCGCTGGACTCACTGTTGACCATCCTATCATGACAACAACTGAGTTCTGGACATCACATGAGTGCTTGCTCTTGCCATATGAGCAGTCACTTACAAGGCTTGATTCAACTTCTGGCCTTTACTATGATTGCTCTGCACATTTTCTTTGGGCTGGAGAACGAACCAGGCAGCTGGATGGTGCTCATGTTGAGTTTCTGAGAGGTGTTGCAAACCCCCTAGGCATTAAGGTCCAAAACTGAGGATGAGACCCCTATAATTTAATATGATTTGGTGAAACAAAAATTTGAACTCTACTGATATGAATTTTCTCTTCTACTCCAGGTCAGTGATAAGATGGATCCAAATGAGCTAGTTAAGCTCATTGAGATTTTGAATCCTCAGAATAAACCTGGGAGGATAACAATAATCACAAGAATGGGTGCTGAGAACATGAGGGTAAAGCTTCCCCATCTGATCAGGGCAGTCCGCCGGGCAGGCCAAATTGTTACATGGGTCAGTGATCCCATGCATGGTAACACCATAAAGGCTCCCTGCGGTCTCAAAACTCGTCCCTTTGATGCCATCAGGGTAAACTACTCATCACTTGTTTTTATAGATTTAATTAAATTTCTGAGGAATTTCCTGATTAGCATAAATTTAAATTTACTTCATCATGCTTTCCCTAATATCTGAGGAACGAATATCCTTTAAGAATTTGGTCAAGTCATATTGGTTCAGGGAAAACAATGGGAAAATTTTGAGTTTAATAAATGAGAATAATGGTTAATTAATCGGCTTACTCTAGTAAGCACATGAAGAATAGATTCATCTCAAAATTTGACAAAAAGAGTTACTGTAAATTTAAAATTCAATGCAAATAATTTAGAGCAGTTCTTGTCTGCCTGCAGCATCTTTCCATGTTCTGGCCACTGAACCAATTTGGATAGGGGTATAGAAATGTCAAAACTCACCAACCATACCCAATAGCTATAAGCATATTCTGCGATTAGAGATTTCTTTATAAGCATGTTGTTTGATTGATCTCTTTATCATTTATGAAGTGGGCAGCTAGCTCAATCATCCCAACTGTTGGTATTTTGTGGTTTCAAAGAAATCATAATTTTTGCTTTAGTAAAATAGATAGTGCGGCAAGCAATAGAATCCCGAGTGTTGGTATTTTGTAGTTTCAAAGAAATCATAATGTTTCTGAGGTAAGCATTGAGTTGTAGTTGGTGAGAAAGAGACAACTTATAATATTTATTGTGGCAAAAAGGTCAAATGAGGTTTTTTAAGCATGGATATGATAATTTAGTTTAGACAATTCTTTGTTAGGTAGGTAGTCGTCTTTCCCCAGTAAGTTTTGAGGGAGTCCATAACTCTTTTTCCCATAAATAAATAAATAAAAATATTGGCCATTTCTTTCGGTAAGGGAATGAATTGTTGGGGGGCGGCAGCCATTTTATGATTTTCTTTTCCTTACAAGTATTGCACATTTAAACAGAAATTGTTGCACCAGATACGGAATTGATATTTTGAATACTAATTACTTATCCTACTTCATTTGTCCAGGCTGAAGTGAGAGCGTTCTTTGATGTGCATGAGCAAGAAGGCAGCCACCCAGGAGGTGTACACTTGGAGATGACGGGCCAGAATGTAACAGAGTGCATTGGTGGGTCAAGAACAGTGACATTTGATGACTTGAGTTCACGCTACCACACCCATTGCGACCCAAGACTCAATGCTTCACAATCACTCGAGCTTGCCTTTATCATCGCTGAACGCCTTAGAAAGAGAAGGATCAATTCACAGCAACCTCTTGTCTCTTCCCCCTCTTCTTCCTTCTCGATGCTGTAGATTGGCTCAAGGGGCCTCACAAATATGTTATTTTTATAATTAGACTGTACTACTATTTTAAATTCTGAAGTTTTGATTTAATTTATGTTATGTATTGTATGTGTATACTGGAAGTGAGAACCAAAGAAATAAAAAATAAAATTGTGAGTTTATCAAAATGTTGGTGATGTCTGTGTGTTGTGGATTGTATTATCTTATAGATTTTGGTTTTATGTTGTACTAGAAGTTAGGTGTTGACACAGCCACGTGAGTTTTACCAAACTTAAGAGTTGAGCATACTTATTCGTAATGAAAACTCTTTCGTTGAAATTTGAAGTTGGTTTGGTCTGCTGGTAAGAAATGCCTATTTCCTGTCCAGTTCGTTCGGCTGGCTGGAATGAGCTAAGCAAGCTACTACGGGAAAGTCACAACTGATATTTTTTTGATATTTATGCTAAATGATTTTAATATTCGTTAGGACTAAGGTCACTGCTATTAGATAATGTAATTCCCATAAATTGGTTTGATTTGGTACCCTTGGATGTCAGTACAAAATATGCAACCAAATTTTATATGAAGAAATAAAAATTTGAACATTACTAATCCCACTGTATTCACATTTTTCAATTTGTTTCACTTCGATTATAATCTATTCTCAACATTCACTCATCAATTTTCACAACTCCATATCTCGTAAACGAGATCAATAGCTGAGTTTGAAATCTTATTTACAGATGTTGATACAGAAATCTGCACCAATTTGAGTGATCTGATCGACCTTAATAAGATTGGAATTAATATGTATGTGATTACGGGTAACTAGCAATGAATGAATAATGAATGCAATGAAGAAAATGACAAAGAGATTTTTAAAGTGGTTCGACGAGGTAAACTCTTGAACCTACGTCCACTGTTTTTTGTATTTGCTATGAGAGCTTACAATAGTAATTCTATGAATTTTTTCCAACCCATCTATCATTGTTTAAGGAGGTTTATATACAGAGTTTGTATAAAGGAAATAGCGAAAATAAAGAGATTATAATTAAATTGAAATGCATATCCGGTATTCTCGTGATTGGGCCTTGTGATTGCGCAAAGATTATTGTCAATCTGATCCCTTCCGAGATATTTGGGATCTAAAGTTACCTGAGAGTTGGTTGAATGATCGCTTGGATTGTTCGCGACTAGCTTGTGCTGGGTCAAACTGTAGCTCGACGAGCTTACGTTGAGTCGGACAATCAGTGAAGTCGAACTGTTTTCAGGTCGAGCTATAACCTCGTAATACTCCGAACTTGATGGAAAAATTGCATACAACAACGGAATTTGTCATCGTGACAAAACAAAAATATATATATTTTCAATGAAATCGCTCATTATAGTGACTGATCTTTTTTTATGACCGAAATTAGTGGAAAATTAAGTGATGCTAACTAGATCTTCAATATATAAAGAAAGAACATTTTTTTTTGGCCCTTTATATAGTATTACATATACATAATATAAAATGGGATTAATTTACTTTATTTGTGAATTGTGATTCCAAATGAAACTGCATATAATTAATTATTACATATCGATAGATAAAAAATGAGTGAGTTAATAGTGATTCACAAAAATTGAAATTAAGGTTGTAACTAGGACTTAAGCTTGAAGTGATTTTTTGTTTCATTTTGTATTAAAATATATTATTCTATTTTCAAATAATTTTATTAAACTATACGATAGATATTTATATCATATATTTTTTTTTCCTGAGATTTGTTAACTTGTGTCTTTAAAGATAAACAATAACATTAAAAAACTGAAAATCTATTTTTTTTTATTTATAAGAATAAAAATATATTAATTAAGCTTTAATATATTGATTTCAGCAAAATTACACAAATTAAGACAATTATATTTAAAATTTCATAAACAACTTTTTTTTTTTTGGTCTGCGTTCAATTGCGAAGCACACGTGTAACCGGTCTACGCGGCAATGAAAACGGTTTCCACATACACGCGCTATCAAGGTTGCTTAAACTCTAGGCGAACCTCAGGTGGGCACCATCTTTGCAAGTGGCCGCGTTCTATCAAAAGCGAACATTTAAAAAGAGTAAACCAAATCCACCTCGAGAGATTTGGAAACCTTTGATAGTATAGCTGAGCAAAAGCAATCAAATCAATGGAGAATTCTGATAATAATAATGGTAATGGAGTCGCAACAAAAGATCGCAGACCTGATGCTCTAGGCAACCTTAAAGTCCTTCCCGATGAACTCATTTGCTATATCTTGGAAAACCTCACTCCTCGTGATGTCGGTCGTCTCGCTTGCGTTAGCAGGTTTTATCTGCGACTTATTATTATAATTATTTATTAAATTCTAATTAATAAATCTGAGTTAACGATGAATTGAGCTTATTTTGGCAATTCGAGAGTTAATGACTATATGATTGAATAGCATTGCCAAAGTTAATTATACGTTGATTAACTTCTACAATCTCAATTTCTTTTTTTTAAACTTAGCTGTTAATTTTATTTTTTCTGTTGAATTCATCTTTGGCCGTCGACTTGTTGAATTCATATGATTTTTTGTTTCTGATATGCAGTGTCATGTATATATTTTGCAATGAAGAACCACTGTGGACGGGTTTATGCGTCAGGAAAGCGAATGGCCTACTCCAGTACAAAGGCTCTTGGAAGAAGACCACTTTGCAATTGTAATCTTTCAAACTAATGCTATATTTTTCACCTTGTTTCACAATATTCCTTTTTTGGTATATAATGTAATAGTTTCTGTTGTGCTTTACTGACACAGAGAGGATCCGCCTATTGAATATGAAGAATCATGCAGAAGGCCGTTGCATTTTGATGGTATATCTAATGATATTCGTAATGTTTTCTATATACTTTTTCTTTCTCCTAGTAATCTTAAGTCACTGACATTACCTTTTTTAGGATTCTATTCTCCATTCTTGTACAGAAGATTTTATAGGTGCAATACTTCATTATATGCCTTCTCTTTTGATAACCGGGTTCTGAAAGCAAGGAAAGTCCTCACTTTGGAAGATTTTAATCATGCACGTAATGAGACTGATGTGGTAGGGTGTAAATTCTTGATTTTAGATTCAATAAATTACTTTGGATTGAAACCATTGGAAAGGATGTTTCTACTCTATTTGGAAAGATTTACTAATACATTGTTCTTTTAGTTCTATTATGTTATCCCTTATTGTGTAAGCTTTTATCTCCTTGCATACTTTCTTTTAATGTTGTCATATATTTAAATCTTCTATAATTATCTGAAGTCATATTTAACTTTCCTGCCTTTGTTTCCTTGGTGGCTTCTTTTAATTTCTTTCAATAGGGGTTTGAGTATATTTTAGAAGATTTATGAATGCTAGAGGAAGGGCATCAAACAGGTGATAGTTTTTGAAATGTTGAATCAACATATAAAGAAACAAAATTAAGGTAGAAATGATGCTTCTCAGAATGTATGCTAACCCTCTGTGAACCTTCCCTTGTCTTCTTTCAACTCCTCTGCTGCAACATTCACGAGCAACTGACAAGTACCATTGTTACTGCTTCAGAAGATAACTCTCCAAATTAAGCTATTAATGCCATGTCACCATTTATTCTGTTGCCGCAACCATAATGTCATTCCCCTCCTTGGTGCTATATAGCTACCACCAGTACCACACTATCATTGCTACATTTACACACCCCACTTTGTCATCACCACCAGATTGCCTCCACCACTGTCATGATGAAGTACCTCTTTGATGTCTCTTTTTACCATGTAATCATGATTACCATTTTCACTTCCTCCAAAATACCATACTATGATTATGGATACCCAATTTGCCACAGTTACATATAGTTTTACCATCTTTCAGTCCTGCAGATACACTATGTTTTGATTATTTGTGATCCAAGAACAGGTTTTACTAATAGTTACATGTCATGCTAATTGTTAGCCTCAATAAATACATAAATAGATGAATAAATAATTAAAGAAAAGTGAAAGTGATAATTTTTTAATAAAAAGAAATAGTTTTTCTGATATTATAGGTAAAGAGAAGGGGGAGCTAGTTCCATGAGCCACTTTTTATTTCACAGTATATGCCTTTCTTTCATACTTTATGAAATTCTGTAGTCAGAAGTTGAAAATTGTAATAGTATGTGATTTGGCTTGTTCATGTGTTTCGGTCCTCATCAGGTTTTGCTTAGTGGATTGGCTGATACTTGGCCTGCAAGGACTACATGGACAGTTGGCCAGCTATTGATGAAATATGGAGACACAAAATTTAACATTTCTCAAAGGGGTGTACGAAATATCTCAATGAAATTTAAGGATTACGTCTCATACACGAAGGTTCAGCGTGATGAAGACCCCCTATATATTTTTGATGCTAAGGTGCTCTATGGTTGTAATAATATTCATTCAACCAATTTTTTTTTCCTGTAAGAAAATTTGATGTTAACTGTCTTTTTATATAGTTTGGGGAAGCTGCACCTGGATTGTTGGAGGATTACAGTGTGCCTCATCTATTTCAAGAAGACTTATTTGCTGTTTTAGATAGAGATCAGCGGCCATCGTATCGATGGTTTATTGTTGGTCCAGAGAGGTCTGGTGCTTCATGGCATGTTGACCCAGCACTTACTAGTGCATGGAATACTCTATTATGTGGCCGTAAAAGGTATATATCATATGTTACTTACTGTTTTTTGGTCAATATTTTTATTTGCAATACCAATACCTATCACCTTATAGTTCTATTTTTTTAGTAATTAATTGTTTTGCAAAGTAATTATATAGGAAAAAGAGAAGTTCAACAAAGAGTCAATTTTACCTTTGGAATATCCTAGATTTTTTGTTCTTGTTTTGTTAGTTGTAGTTTTTAATGATGTGTACAGTATCATGAAATGCATAATTTTTGTACCATGCATGCCATGTGTGCAGGCCTTTATGGTTGATTTTGGTCTTGTAGTTTCTTTATCATTTTCTTTTTCTTCTCTAACTGGACTAAAAAAGTCAAAACCTGAGCATGGAAAGCTTGATTTTTGTTTTGTCCTCTTAATCACGGCTGTGTTCTCTTGCCAATTTAAGTTTTGGCATAGTTGTACATGTTAATGTGAGGGATATTGGTCTTGGCATATTAGGCTGCAGGCAAACTATTTAACCCTCGGTAATTGAAATAGCTGATTTCTACAAGACTGTCTCTTTTGATCGATGGATAGGTGGGCATTATATCCTCCTGGACGAGTACCGCTCGGTGTTACAGTTCATGTAAATGATGAAGATGGTGATGTCAATATTGAGACCCCATCATCTCTGCAGGTATTTTATAAAGATTTCATCTCCTTTTCTAGTATCATTCATCTGATTCACCTTTACTGAGTCACCTTTTTTTTATGTGTGTGTTTATAGTGGTGGCTAGACTTCTATCCTCTTCTTGCCGATGATGACAAACCAATTGAGTGTACCCAACAACCCGGGGAGACAATTTTTGTTCCAAGTGGATGGTGGCACTGTGTCCTGAATTTGGAAACAACTATTGCTGTTACCCAAAATTTTGTTGATTCCAACAACTTTGAATTTGTTTGTCTGGATATGGCTCCTGGTTATCGTCATAAAGGTGTTTGCCGTGCTGGATTGCTTGCTCTTGATGAAGGTGGTCTTGAGGCTTTCGAAAAGAATGCATGCTGTGATGATAAATCACTGAGTTATCCAGACATGACTAGGAAGGAGAAGAGGGTGAGAATTAACAGTTCCAGGGAGAATCAAAATTGTGAAGAAGCAATTAATGGTGTTTCAAAAAGCTATAATTTGTGGAAACAGGGATTTTCTTATGATATAAGTTTCTTGGAGAAGTTTTTAGATGAAGAGAGAGACCACTATAATTTTCCATGGAACTCAGGCAACTGCATAGGGCAACGAGAAATGAGAGAATGGTTATATAAGCTTTGGGTTGGTAAACCGGAAATGAGAGGGCTAGTGTGGAAGGTAATTCCTTTTCCTTTTAGCATTTTCTTTGTGCTTGTCAAGTTGGGCTTTTATTTACATTGAACGAATAATAACTATTTCCTTTCTTTCGAGCTGTAAGTGAGATGAATTTATTAAGCCAAATGTGTAAAATACTACCAGATTCTCCTTCTGCAGACCCACTATTCCAATACCAAGGTGTTCATTGAGCAAGTCTTAATGTATAAGAAGCTAAATTCTTGCTGACCATACATATTTAGCAACAATATTAACTTGCCTATATGCTCTTTTTACCTTGGAAAATATCATGATAACCTTGGTCAATGGTAAACTTGATGATCCTGGTCACCTTAGTGATCACCTTGGTCAAGAGTGAATGACGATTCTTCTCGTAGGACGATGAGTTCTATAATGTTAAATAAGGAAACAGAAACTTTTGAATAAGGTTATCTAGTAGTCATTTGCTTCCTATGTTTTCAATGAAACTTTTCATCAAGGTGGTTTGGTTCCTATGTGTTGAAATTTGAGTTTTATGGTTATTTTTGCCTTCTACTTGTCATGCCTATATTTTCTGACAGTTGCTCGGAATTGTCTTAGGGAGCATGCCTTGCTTTAAATGCAGGCAAATGGTTGGAGCGCCTGGAAGAAATTCGCAATTTCCACGATCTTCCTCCTCTCACAACTGAAGAGAGGCTCCCTGTTGGCACTGGAAGCAATCCTGTGAGTTCATTGTTTTTATGTCAAGCCATGTTTTTCTGAATTTCATTTTTTATTTCTATTTCTTAGTCAAGTCTGTCATGTTATATTGCCCTTTTATCTGTTGAATTGCATTAACTTTAACATATTGAAATATGAGGAATCAATGCAAGGATCTGATTGATGACAGGACAAGGTTTTCAGTAAGGTTTGATTTTGAATGTAGTGGTTTACTTTTGAGAGGGATTCTTTGTGGAGGGTAAGATATGAATACAAAGGCAAGGTTTGATTTCGAATCGTGCTAAGACCTAAAGCTGATCTCTTTCAAAGTGTTTGTCTGTATGGATGCTAGCAACCGCAGGGCTGCATAATTAAATCATTTACCTAATCTTAAAACTTCTGGACCTCATGTAATTTTTCTTTCCACCATATTTCGTTTTCTATTTTTTTGCATTTCTCATCTGGCATTTCTCTTGTGTGGTTCCACCACACAAAGACTAGAGGGAGTAGGATTTAGCTGACTGTCTCCTAGAGAGGGGCAATCTATTAAACTTACATAGCAAATAGTAGCAACTCATGTTGAGGTTAACTTGAGCCTCACAGAACTGAATTTCTTTGAATGAGGAGTGATTTGGATTATGCTACCATCAACAAAGCATTGGAGATCCTAAGATTTTAGACTGAAAGAAATTCCACTACTGTGGCATTTTCTTTTATTGTAACATGGCACGATGTAATATGCTGTTAATGTTACGAATCTGATTTGTGTCAGTTGGCTGTTGATGTCAAGAATATATAAATTTGATTACTAGAAAGCAGCTTTAGTTTATACAAATGAATTTTTTTGTAGCTTAGTTGGTCTAATCTTGCTTTGACAGGTTTATCTCATGGCTGACTGTGTAGTCAAAATTTTTGTTGAAGAAGGGTTAGAATCTTCGCTTTATGGTTTGGGCACTGAGGTGAGTTTTAATTTTTTCTCCTCAGTTCATGTTTTATGTCCTGTGTTGTGTGGCCATTAATTTTATAAATTAAATCTGGTAGGAAAGGTCTCAACAACAATGTATAAACTATATATGTGTCCTATCACATGGATCCGAAGATATCACATAGATTTGAACAGATTAACCTTGTCACCTGAATCCAAACACATAAGCCCAGTTTGCGTTGTTATAATTTAATTAAGATGGGGCTATTGGTACACAAGATACTCTCCATCCTTTTTTCTCTAAGTATACACTACTAAAATTTTAGGAATTATTTTTTTATCAAATTTTTGGTTTTCATTGTATTTTTCTAACACTTTAGCAAGGATCTATGGATTTTGTATTAGAATTATGAAGATATGTGGAGTAAAACTCTAATTTTTAATTTAGTTGTGGGTGTATAAAAAAATGGGTGTTCAAAGCACTTTATTGGGTGTATATAACCTCACTCCTTATTTAATTGATACACAAGATCTATCTATCAAATTTGGATTTGAGAATGTATTGAGAAACATTAGTCCTAGAAACTTAGGTGAAAAAAAGGATCCAAAAGTACTGTTCACACTCTAATGCTTCACTTGATTGCAGCTAGAATTTTATAGTTCACTGTCTAAAGTCAACTCCCCTCTGAAAAATCACATTCCTGAGATATTGGCGAGCGGAATTCTTTATCTTGAAAATGGTTCGTACAAAGTTGTGCCTTGGGATGGCAAAGGGGTGCCTGATGCGATTGGTAAGTGCAATCTTATCTCATGGAACTACAGAGAAGACGATTTCCCTTTTGGCATATGGAGCAAGAAACAATTTGAATATAAAAGAGCGGGAAAATCAGTATGCGAATTAAAAACTTCAGATGGATGCACAGGGATATGGCCATATGTAATAACAAAACGATGCAAAGGGAAGATATTTGCCCAGTTGTAAGTGTCTTAACATAATTGTTTCTTGTTCTAGTTCAGATGCAGCTCAGCTTTTGAAATTACAGATGTGCTAGGAGTACCCTTGGTGTAGCTTCAGGCATAAAAACTGCATTTTTATTCTTTTTGCAGAAGAGATACAGTCACCTGGGAAGATATGCTAAACTTAGCCTCCTTTTTGGGAGAGCAGCTGCGTAACCTTCATCTCTTGCCTTATCCACCTTTCGATGACTTAACCTTATCAAGTTTTAAACAGAAAATGGAACTGACAAATGGTTGTATGGAGGATTTTCTCTGTAAATCAAATATTCCAGTGGAATGGGAATTTTTTATCAGAACTCTTGCTGAGAAGAAGAAGGATGTTGCAAGCCGCCTGACTAACTGGTATGAAGACACTTCTTTTGCCTTCTATGTCTTGTTGACACCTCAAGCCTGTTAAATATCCCAACTGCTAATTGCATATGATTTTTGGCAGATTGATATGCACATTTCATGACATGCTTTATTTATTTTAAATACTGGTTACTACCTGTACATCATCCGGTTCGGATGAACTGAGGGGGATTCGCTTAAGCATCTCACACTTATTTCCTCCTCATATTCATCTTCTTTTAAATTATCACTAGAAACAAGTTTGTATATTAATTTGATAATGGCCTTTCAGACACGACAACTCCCAATTTTTAGATTAGGAGGCTTAGTGTGCGTGTGTGTTTTTATTCCCAATTTTTCCAATAAATCTGGTCACCTTGATTGAGTCTGCATAGTATGCCAAAGTTTGAATACTTGGAAGTGCTTAATTAAATAAACCAAATTTCTTTATAATTTGTTTTTCTCTATAATTGATACATTTTTTCATTAGACAGTTTCTGTTACTACTGATGTGAATTTAGAGCTTCATGTTTTATGTGTTTTGCACTTAAAGGTTCTGTGTGGCACCTCTGAGATCCTTATGTTGCAACTTGTAGGGGCGATCCAATTCCTGGGACACTGATAGAGAAAGTTGATGAATACATACCTGATGATTTTGCAAAGTTGCTTCACGTGTACAAGGTTTCTTCTGTAGCGCACCAACTTTTTCTTTTTTTTTTTGGCTGTGATATCTTTTGTTTCGGGTAAAGATATATCATGGTGGAACCTCTATTAGGTAAAGTATTATTAGTTTTTCATTATCAGTTGGATCTTGCTTGTTTGTTTTCAGGATGAGAATGGCCTGAATAAAGTTTGCAAACCTTGCTCCTGGATACACTCAGATATCATGGATGACAATATTCACATGGAACGGTGCTATGCTAGCTCATGCTTGAGTGAAAATGCTGCAGATTCTGGCCCGAGGGACACTGGGTCCATGAATGGCTATGATGGCAGTGGAGAAGACAAGTCATGGCGTCCAACTCACATTCTTGATTTTAGTGATCTTTCTATAGGTTAGTGCTTTTGGTTAATGCAATTTCTATTCTATGTAGCTATAACCATGATTTTGTCATGAAAAGAAGAAAAATAACCCAACCAGCAGCCAATCTACTGAAAGGCCTAAAGATAAAGAGATTAAAGAAAAGGCTACAAAATACCAGACAAGCAGAACGTGAACGATAAAACTTAAAACTTGCAGATTCTGAGCAACAAATGGCTACTATAAACTATAAGGCTAGAAGCATTATTTATCTTTCTCATAGAGAGTTTTTGCCTCGAGTTTTTATCAAATTCCTCTTAACCCAGATATTTCTACCTTAAATATACTACCTGGGGAAACTTGAAATTTTATCTATGTTTTTGTCTGTTTTACATTATTGCAATGGAAATCCTTCAATCCATCGGATATGCATCAGTTCCTCTGCTTTACAGAATGTCATGTAGCAATGTTCCGATTGTGAACTCTAGGTCTGGTGGGACAACCAATGCTCTAACCTTTGGGTACTTCGTGTGTATAAAAACATGGTATTAGGCTTGTAGGCAAGTTGATTTTCTGTTTTTCCTCACTTTGAAAGTAGTTATTATTGGTCAATTAAAATGTAAATGTTGAGGTAATGCATACAGTTAAATCAACTTTATGTAACAATCTATCTGAGTTTTATCCTTTTGCAGGTGATCCTATCTATGACTTGATACCTATATATATAGATGTCTTTAGAGGCGATTCTTGTCTCTTTAAGCAATTTTTAGAGAGCTATAAACTCCCTTTATTGAGAAGAATGCCGCAGCCTGAATCAGGAGATGACAAGTTTGCACGACTTTCATACCACACCATGTAAGGAACATCCTCATTTATGCTTTTTCTGTCTTTGGGTACCTCACGATCGAATTTTTATCAATGCTATTATTGATGTTCAATTATGCATTTATCATTCATGTAATATGATATTGACAACACTATCAATTATTACTGCTCAAGTAAATTTAACATTGTAAGGAAATTATCATAAAAAATGACACGAATTGTAGTACCGTCGGGAAAGATATACTATCTGAAGTAGTACCAGTTAAACGGGTTTGAAATTCAGAGGTTTATGGCCCCTGTAATGGTGTGTTTATAAATCATGCCCCTCCTTAATTATTCTAGTGCCATATATTGAAAATAGCTAGTACACTATTGCATGCTTTCTTTTCAATTAATATTTTGACAATCCGCTTCAATCCAATATAACCTGAGTTAAATTCAGTCTCAACCCAACCTATAACTTTAATTCTCTAATTCAGCATCCAGGTTAAGGGGCCTTAAGCTTGAAACTGTTCATTTATTTTGTATCTAAGCATTCAAATTATTTAACCTGAATCTCTTCTTTGAAAAATCCAAGATATTAATAGGATAATTTGCTAATGGGTTAATAGAGTATTTTCTGAATATAGGTCTTCAACGATGGATATGAGCAAATTAAATATGATATCCATTATAAGTTTGAGCATCATTGTTATACTGTCCATGTTTTCATCCTATATCAGCATCAATCTGCCATCATCATGCTAATCAGCGTTCTTCACGTGCTTGTACGTTTTGCTGTAGATTGAGCATATCTATATTAATCTTTTGGATGGCTTCATGTCTGCAGGTGCTACTGTATTTTGCATAAAGATAATGTCTTGGGAGCTATTTTTGGTATGTGGAAGGAATTAAGGATGGCCAAATCATGGGAAGAAGTTGAGTTGAAATTGTGGGGAGACCTAAATAATTACAAGGGCTTCCCCTGATCATTCTTGCGTTTCTCATTTATTTACGGTTTTACACCCTCCAACGACTGTGCTTTTTGAGTCTAAACATACAAACACATATTTGATCTTTATCATTAGTTTTGAAAAACTGGTAATCCTTCATGTAATTTAAATTTGCATTACAATTTTTGTTGTAAGGGAAAAAAATAACATAAAAATTGAATAATTTTAAATTTTTACACGTTTTTCTGTCAGATTATTTTGATTACAGCTGTGGTTCAATAGAAAAAATAAGGTTTATCAGGCTCAGGCCTATTTGTTCAGACTGAGTCATTAGTGTTGATTGTTTAATTAAAATGGAATATTGGAAAGATTTAATTTGAATTATTTGTATGCATAAAACTTTTCAGTTAGCTAATGCCCCTCAGATCAAATGGTTTGATGACCTTCGACTCTACACGTCGTCGTCTTATATTGATAGAGTGTATTTCAAAATTGAAGTGTGTGAGATCAATCAAGATCGTCTCTACCTTCAAGCAACTTTGCAGCTAGTAACTGAAGCTTAAGTGAGATCTGGAACTTAACTTGGGAATGCGAAATCAACATGATTATAATGATCAAAGAACTCAAAAATAAGAGTTGTACCGAGACAAGTTTTAGCCAGTTGTTCCACATTATTTCCTTGCCCTTTGTTTGATTCAAAACACTTTTACCCAGGTTCAAATTATCACCCAGAGGTCTGGCTCATGGCCAGAACTTAGCAGGATTGGGCACAAAAACTAGTAGTGGTGATATTAATGAAGCTCCTAACTCTTCTTTTTTTTAATTCAAGAACGAATCGGTGTAGTTGATTCAGTACATATTATAGCGATTTCTTGTTTCATCAGAAGATTTAAGTATTTTAATCTTTTGGGATTGGTAATGATGATTCTTGTTATCTTCCATAAGTGATTAAATGAGGTGTGCCATTCGTACTTTCTAGCAATCTCAATTCTAGTGCTTGTCTTGTCGTCCAACCTCCTGATGAGGTTTAATAGATTGTCTCGTCTTCCCCACTCCCCCATTGACAAATAAAATAGAACAACATTATAAAATACTGCAACTAAAATGCTAACGAGTGGTGATGATTAGTAACCCTAAACCTAAAGGACAATCTAGCTTGCTTTTCAGATTTTAAATAGGGGTATATGGATTTGTATTATTGATTCTTTAGTTAAATATGGCGACTGGCGTTGGCATCACTTGTTTTAATCGCGGTGATGCTACTTTCTGGGATGATTTTGCTTTTTTCATACATAATTAATTACTATATGCTAGATCATGTTGTATTCTTTCATCACCAGATAATCATTATTAACTTTAATTATATAAAATGATGTGTCTTACCTAGTCACCATAATTGCAGAACCTCATACTTGAGCTCCCATCACTCATCGCCTTCATCACTAATACGGCGAGTAGCAGCACCTTAAGCAGACTACTTGATCCTTCCAATTGCCATTTCTTACGAACGAGCTTAAACTACAGCTCGAAGTAGCAGACTACTTGTCACACGTTGGCTTTTCGCTGCTAGTGCATTATTGGGATTTCTCCTTGGTCTTGGTATCTACTTGTATTCTTTTGGTTTATCCTATCTTCCGATTTCTGTTTCTTCTCTTCTAGGTTCAACTCAGATTGCTTTCATTGCAATTTCTGCGTTTGTTGTTATCAAACATAAATTCAATCATTACAGGATTAATGCTGTGGTTTTGATGAACTTTGGATTTATAATTCTCGGTTTTCACGAGGGCAGAGATCATCCTAACGGAAAGTATGCGTTGGGTTTCTTCTAATTGTTAGAGACAGGCATTACCAGTCCAGGATAGACTGAGACAACAACCACAAGCTCATTCAAGGGCACGAACGAATCCTTACCATTGCTATCTTTATTCCAAGGTAAGAACCAACTGATAGAGTGATAAAAACAATAATTATCTTCAAATATGCTTAACTAGAAACCAAAACAAGTCAACATTTCCCCTTTATTCAAGTTTGCAACCAACTTAATATCTAAACAAACAAGCCAAGGTTTTCACATCTATACGCAAAACAGTTGCAACAACCCTTCTGCTCAACCAAAGAAGAAACAGTTGCACCGACCCATTACAAGATTCTTCATTTCAGTATCTACTTTTAACCGAAAAATTTAGCTGCCCGTCCCCCCCAGTTCTGCATTTCAGAAATGGCCTTGATAATACTGTTCATAAAATAGTTTATATTTAGAGAGATGACGGGGCATAGTGGATATCTTAAACACGTAAAATGGGTTAAAATGAAAAGATTACAACATATGTGGGCCGAATCAGAAATAATGAGTTTTCAAATTTGGAAATTTCGCAAAACAACCCCACACTCTATGCACGGGTGCGCTTAATCGATTCATCAGTTTGACACGCGATTTCTTGAACGAAAGGGAGACGCGATTTTTTTCCGATCCCACACCAATTGATTTGCCACCCTAAATCAATTTCTTGAAACCTAAACCGAATACAATCGCGATTTTCGGCGATATAGCTCGATTTGCGATCGATTTGTTGAACCCTAAGAACGATTGTCCTTCACTATAACCAGAATCCTGCGCGATTTTCCCCGCGATACAGCCCATATTTCAATCCAAACTTACACATTTTCACACCAAATCAATCCAAAGCCTGTGACACTCACAAATTGACGACGCAACCCACGCCACTTCGAATCTACATTCCGTGGCTCACGCAGTTCATGGCTGCTCCGCGTCGAATCACTGACCATTGAAGTGGTCCACACGTAGAGGAACGCCGGCGGCACAGAAGATGAGTGAAGACAACCAGCACAGGGGTCTGAAGACGAGTTATCAGGAGCGAGACTCTCAGGCAACCCGAAGGAGGATTCCGGAGAGAATGCAGGACCGGAGGTTGGTTCCACTGGCGATATCAGGGGCAGTTGAGTGGTCGCCGTGCGGATCTTCAGCGCCGAGGAGAAGCCGGCGAAGATAGGGTACTAGTTTGGGAGTTGTCTTGTAATTTCCTAAGCGTCATTAGTATCGCATTAAGTCTAGTTCGCGTTTTTACTCATATCGCAGCAATGAACCGTTAAGAGATTCATGATGTGGTCTTAACTCTTGTGGCTTATGCGACTTAGTTCTGGGCTAATCACGATTAAGAGATTCCAGTTAACTGTTGATTCGCTTAAGCGATTTAAAATCGCTTAAGCGATCTTGCCTGACACATTCAAGATCTTTAAGTCGTCCATGAATCGTTTTAAGAGATACAGTGGGTTTATGGTTTATTTTTTGTTGATGACATTTTATTTATAATCGATTGTGCAGATGTGCGGACCGAACTGTATAGAGTACGAGTTTGGAGCCTATAGTGTAGAGGTACCCTACTTCCCTGCAAGGGTGACGGTGAGTCGCGAGCTGGGAGGTTTTTGACAGAATAAGGGCCATTTTAGCTCTAGAATGAGCATGGTGAAAAGAGATGTTTGGTGACACTTGTTTTCGGTCAGTTTTTAGAATTGGAAAAAAGTGGAAAAATCATTTTGGGGGCAGGAGTGCATTACTAGTTGATGCACTCAGTAAAAAGCAAGAAAAAAATGAAATGTGGTTCGTGGTGGAGGGAAAGCCCACTAGGTTTGGTATGATTGGAGTATGCGTTGGTGACGGGCTTAGGATGCGGGAAGTGCCACTAAGGCGGGGCAGACGCCAGTAAGAAAGAGTGCGGGAGCCATAAACTTTTGTAAAAAGGTTTTGAACAGGGGCAAGTCTATTACAGGAAAAGTTTTAGAGAAGAGCTATCTACAGTTCGGTTTAGTTGATGCAGAGAAGTATAAAGTGTGCTTGATATTGTTTTTGGTCATTCTATCTTATTGGCTGTGACTCAACAAAAGCTATTGAGAAAGTTGGTTGCTGTTTGTAAGCGACTGGAGTTCTTTAATTCTTATCCGTGGGGACGGATATCATTTGAGCGAACCATCAAGAGCCTAAAAACCAGACATGGCGTTAAAGCATGCCGAATGGGCGGGAAGGCTTACCAGCACGTATAATTTGTTTGGCTTCCCATGGGCAATGCAGGTAATATTAATAGCTCTATGTTATTTTTTTATATATGTGTGTTTTGAATAATGACATGGACTTGTTTTTTTACATGTATGCTTGGATGTACGAGGCCATCCCTTGTCTTCGCCAAGGCGGGGGGAGGAGCACAAATGTGAATGTGCAACAGCGATTTCCTAGGATGTTGCGGTGGCATGTCGAGAGCTGTAACCATTGGGATGATTCTGGCCAATAGTAGATTGAGATTCAGCAGCTGAGGTAAGATGGAAGGATTAGCTTTTGAATATGCAGTTGGTTTTTTTATTTGCTTCAATCTGATTGATTTTTTTTTCTTATTGCAGGGGAGTCGTCCGTCCCTTTTTGACCCCGATTGGGGATGATGCGGAAGAGACTATGTCCACAATTCTTCAAAGCAATGGAGATGAAGGATGATACAGATAGACCTCCTGATGCGGGACCTAAAGGGGTCACGCATGTGATGGCATTGCAGGCCATTGCTTGACAATGTCGTTGATGCTGATCAATGATGCTCGGGGGCCGAGGATGAGGAGAGAAGAGGGAGGAAGAGGTTCGTATGCCCAAGCAAACCGTACAACAAGTACCCAGCTTTGCCGAGACATCGCGTAGGAGAATGAGGTTTGGCCTCTATCAACGGCCTGTTTTGAGAGTTTTTACAACAGCCGTTTATGCAAAGCTGAGAAGATGGCGAAAAATCTGAAAGGGTGGAGAAGAAAGTGGATAAGGTGGGAGGAAAGTAGCTAGAATGGAGGGCGAAGTTGGTACAATGTGGAGGAAGTTGGTGAGAATTAAAGGCGGTTGAAGTGCAAACTGGCTTGAAAGAGAGAGCCGAAAGAGCAAGTTTGTGAATCGCCTTACATGTGTGTACACAGGTTAAAGAAGAAGAAAATGAAGAAACAATGGAGGAACAACCAGAAAGGTGAGGAGGTTGAGGAGGTTGGTGGAAGTGGGGGGGCGGTGATAATGGAGGTTAGGATGTTGGTGGTGAAGTGGGCGGTGATAATGGAGAGGGGGAGTTGGGAGGCGAATGAATCGGGGATGTAAAATTGGAGGAAGGGGAAAGTGTGGGAAGGGAAATTGGACTCAATGTCGATTTGTATAGGCCAATAGAGTGAAAGGAAAAAACTCTTTTAGCCTTATACAATGGATCG